GGAATAGGGTTTTGGGAGAGCCTCAGTATCAGTATAGCGCCCGAACCCTATTCTAATTAGGAAGACTCTGAAACCCTAAACCCTTGTAGTAGCCCTTATAGAACCCTTTACGGAACCCTTTGAAAGGAACCCCCCCAAACCCTATTCTAATTGGGGTTGCAGCCGCAAGTACGAAGTTCTATGCATTTGAAGGCCTTGTGACTTTATCTAGGTGTCCATCGGCCCCCACGCTGGCTTTGCGGCGTTCATCCCTTGAATCCACAGTTTGGGCCCGGAGCAGCCTTCACCCGGAAGATTCTCATTGCAGTCTAGTCATGGAGGGTTAGGTAAGGGAAATTCCTGCATGAGGGAATCAAGTGCACTACCATGTTGAAAACCTGCAGAATAATTACGATGAAATCGCACTCAAAGCAAACCAAACAAAACCGCAATTTGCCGTAGGCCCTTTCGAAACCCCAATAGGCCCTTTAACTCACGCTTTTGGAAACCCTAAACCCTAAACCCCAAGCCCTGAATTGAAAAGCGATGCGGAGCCCCAGCAAGCCTATCAAACCGCCAGCTTCGAACACCCAAAGCAAGACAAGCAAAATGCGTCTGCGAACCCCTAAACCCTAAACCCTAAACCCCTAAACCCCTAAACCCTAAACCCTAAACCCTAAACCCACCACACCGAGGCAGGGGAATCAGTGAGGTACCCGACATAATAACTGGATTCCCATGGGTACCCCTACTTCGGAGACTGGGTAAAGCACTAACAGCCTTTTCGACAGCCATACACCGCCAAACAAACGTCAAAAACTGTACAACATCGACTAGTCCCAATATAAGGTATCAGTAGATTTAAGGTCCCTCTCATGGGGTCTCTTGCAAGGCGAACCGAGTGCCGATCGTTTTGAGGAAGCATCGCCAACCCTGCAGAATGTGAGACTGTGAATCCCTCCACGAGAGAATTTACTCAACTAGCAACCCATATGCACTCTATGATCCAAGGACTACACATGGGCCACCTATTCTCTGACACTCTCGTACTATGTCTCACGATGCCCAGATAACACCATAGCCCTACATCAAAGAATATAACTCGAATTACTTCGGTCGATTTCTTATCATTGCAGGCGGATTCCGAAGTCCTTCGTGACCCTCAACTTACCATGCATTCTTGCAATGCATACTGTAGAGCTTCGACACTGCCTTGAGAGAGCCTTTGTATTGGGCTCACTGGTCAGCATTTCGTAGTGAGTTTCAATGCTTCTGGGTTTCAGGCAGTCGGGCTCGTTTACGTCTAGGGAGTAGAGCAAACCCTAAACCCTTAAAGCTAAATCCTCTCGTGTTTGGGATTGAAGGGTTTCTGCTGCAGTTAAGGGTGTATTCTAAACTTAATTCTTAAGGGTGTAGGGTGCTTCGGGGCCTAAAAGCCTACAAGGCGTTTAGGTTTCCGGCTTGAAGATTTGGGGTTGGAGGTTGTGGGCTTTAGGATTTTGGTGATCGTGAGAGTAGGACTTTCTCAGCTCCGTTCAGCTTGGGTTTCGGGCTTTATCTAGGTTTCAGTGTGTTGGTGGGTTCTGGTTGGGTCCCGGATTGTACAGGGATTATAGTGCAGCAGAAAGGTTGCAGGTTACTTGTTCTACTACAGGATTCTTCTAAGTTATCCAGTTTTGACAAGTGCTTAGCGTCTAGGGACCAGGGTTTCGCTTGGAGCTTCATGGGTAGTTGGAAGCAGGGATATAACTCCCCTAAGATGGGTTATCACTATAGTTACCCTACTTATAACTCCACTTACAACTACCCATGAACCACCAAGCGGGGCTTGCTGAGGGTCGTGTCCTCCTGAGTATCCAGTGTTAGCCCGAAGACCAAACCTAAACCCTAAACCCTAAACCCTAAACCCTAAATCCTAAACCCTAAACCCTAAACCCTAAACCCTAAACCCTAAACCCTAAACCAAAAAAACCTAAACCCTAAACCCTAAACCCTAAAACCCTACAAGCCCTGATGCAGAGGTCTGAAGACTCGTAATTAACGGTATCCCCTTGTGGGCAGCTCTCCAAATTAAGGTCCCTTTTCAGGTCCCCAATATAGTAGGGCACCCTTATAAAAAAGGACCCTAAAAGGGACTCTCATTTAGACAACTACCCTTCTACAGTCCCTATCTAAAGAACGCTTGTGTCCGAAACCCCTGTTCGAATTACAAGATCAAACCCGATAAGTTAAACAAGGAAAGCACTGTATAGGCCTTGACTTGAAGGACCCTTAAAGGAGTCCCTGCAGGAAAAAGCAACTCGGAACCCCGAGTCGAAAAGGCCTATACAAGCCTTTCAGGATGTTCAGGAGCCGGTAAACCCAAAACCCTAAACCCTAAACCAAGCCTTTAAAGGCCTCAGCTCTCAAAGTAAAACCCCTAAACCCAAACCCTAAACCAATCCTTTAAAAGCCTCAGCCTTCAAAGTAAAACCCTAAAACCAAACCCTAAACCAATCCTTTAAAGGCCTCAGCTCTCAAAGTAAAACCCTAAACCCTAAACCAACCCTTTAAAGGCCTCAGCTCTCAAAGTAAAACCCTAAACCCTAAACCCTAAACGCCTCAGCTCTCAAAGCCCACAGGCCTATCTGTCGGCCCTGCGCCGAACACCTCGTGAAGGATGAAGCACCTGGGGGGCTGGAATTCTCCTTAAAGGGTGTATGGGATTTGTGGACTTGGGTAGAATTTAATGGTTTCTATACGGTTCTGAAAGCTTGAACTCGCTTTGTACAAAGCTTTGACTGGCTTTGGAGTTGTGGGACAAGGTTTTCATGGCTTCATCGAGTTGTAAAAGATTTTGCAGTATGTTTATGAAGGTCTCATACTAGGTTCGTCGGCAGCCCGGTGATTCTGAGGCTACCCTTCTTTCTCGTTTTCAATGTGTACATATTGTGCAAAGGAAACCTCAAGACAAGGCTAAACGGGTGCTACTGGACAACCTGATTGGTTTAATGAGTTTTCGCTGATTCTGGACCCTAAACCCTAAACCCTAAACCTTCAAGAGGGGCGGAGTCTAAGGACTAACGGTCTGCATTGCGTCTTGCGTGTTAGGCACTCGACAAAAACTAGTTCTTCAAGTCTCGACTTATGGACACGGCTTAAAGTTAATGTAGGGGCCTTAATAATTAGAATAGGGCTTTTGGGATTCCTTATTGTATTGATAAAACAATACACCCCAAACCCTATTCTAATTGTTAAGGCCCCTATGTTAAGTTCAGGGCGTAGGGAGTTCTACATCGTCTCCCAACCTGCGGTGCTTCAGCACGAGATTCAGGACATGCCCAGAGAACCCAATACCCCTTAATTAAGGAATGCACCCTAAATCATAATATTAAGGCCCCTATATTTAAGGTATACTCCTCACTTAAGGTGTATTGGGTTCTCTGGGTGAGGCGAACAAATGAATCGCCTGTCGAGGCTGCACTTCTCCAGACAACCGACAGCATAAGTTGGGGGGGGGGGGAGGCAAAAAATGATTAGTTGGCCTGCAGAGGACAAGCCCATGCATGTGCAGCCAGCCCAAACCCGAGTAAGTTGGAACTCAGCCTGCGAGTGCGCCGGTACGCCACTCAACAACTGCGCGAGCAAGCTCATTCGCAGTGGTGGCATCGCCAAACCCTCTAAAGTCTAAATCTACTCCAAAATGCGCAGGTCGGACATTAGGGCTTTAAGGTCTTGACAAATGCTTTACCGGGATTAGAACTTGGTGTTTGAGGCTTTTGCTGCCTGCTTGAACTGTGCTCCTTGATTTACTTCGCCAGCTATATCACATTCACCTTTAGTTTTCACGAGAAACAGCCGAAGGACGAGCGAAGAGTGAGTTGTTTAGTTGACTCAACTAAGCCACAAACGCATGCTCTGCTCTACCCCTTATATATATATACACAATATATATATATATATATATATATATATAATATGTGTGTGTGTGATAAAAATACCTGTATATATATGTATATATATATATACTGATGCAAAAGGATCTGTGTCGCCCCTTTCCACACGCGCCTGTGGCCTGTGGACCTACTAGCATCCCATCTCACAGCACAGAACCAAGGTGCCCGTTGTCCCTAAACGATGAGGGCACACATCTTCCGCGGGTTGAATGTTAACAACCTGTACGTAATAGAACAAGAAATGGACATCCCCCCCCCAAATTAGGGCACACATTTTCCAGTAAATACGTGAATGGTAGGATAGTATAATAGCAGACGAACAAAAGTCCAATGGGTACTACTGGGTGCGGACCTAGCAATACTGAGAGCCTTCTTCTGACTGACAAACTCCGACACCATCAGTGCCTTGGAGCGTTCGCGGGTTGCCTCCTGACCCTAAACCTAAACCCCAAAGACTAAAGCCTAGAGCCTAGAGCCTAAACCCTAAACCCTAAACCCCAAACCCCTAAACCCTAAACCCCCTATAACCCCTAAACACCTAAACCCCTCGGCCCTAAACCCTAAACCAAAACCCTAAATCACCACACCCGGGCTTTTCTGAGATGGAGGCTGGCCGTAGTGCTCCAGCTTCTGACCTGCTGGAGGACCAAAGGAATAGGCCTTAAAAAGGGCTCCTTAGATCTAGAAGGGTTTAGGGTTTGGGGTTTCGGGTTTAGGATTTAGGGTTTAGGAATAAGCCTATAAGCCTTACAAGGGCTCCTTAAAGGGATCTGTAAGGGTGTAGGGTTTAGGGTGTGGGAATGGACCTTAAAAGGGCTCCTTAAAGGGATCTATAAGGGTTTCGGGTTTAGGAAAAGACCTTAAAAAGGGCTTCTTAAAGGGATCTATAAGGGTTTAGGGTTTAGGGTTTAGGAATAGGCCTTTCAACGGGTTCCTTAAAGGGATCTATAAGGGTTTAGGGTTTAGGAATAGACCTTCAACGGGCTCCTTAAAGGGATCTACGAGGGTTTAGGGGTTTAGGGCTTAGGGGAACAAGGGAACCTGATTAAGGAAACCTTGGGTTACAGTTCAGGAGTTATGGGTTTAGGGTTTAGGGTTTAGGGTTTAGGATTCGGGGCACAACATCAATACATATATATATATATATATATGTATATATATATAGAGTTTTTTATGTATGTATTTATACTATACGATCCTTGATAGTTGACTGGGTTTATGGAGCGTAATCTAGCATAAGTACGACAACGGACCCAAAGGAACACTACCTTCACTTATCTAGGCTTCTCTATGTCATGGGATCTTGGGGGTGCATGTGCCTTTGTACCCTTCGCCACTTTCGGTCCCAGCGAACTATTCAGGCCCCTAAATTAACCCTGAAGCTCCAAACCCTGAGACCCTAAACCCTGATCCCTGCTAACCTCAAACCCCAAAACAGTAAAACAGCAAAGCAGCACATCCGAAAACCCTAAACCCCTAAACCCAAACTTCCAAACCCTAAACCCCTAAACCCAAACTTCTAGACCCTAAAACTCTAAACCCAAAGCTCTCACACTCCTAATCTCCTCAACCCTAAACTCCTAAACACCTAATCTCTCCAACCCTAAACCCTAAACTCCTAACTCCTAAACTCTTCAACCCTAAACTCCAGAGCAATGCGCAAACGGCGCAATGCTTGAATTTGTAATTAACATTGTATGTCGCCTTGTTAAGCATCTTGGCGTGCTTCTCGCTTGGATGGTCTGCAGACGTCTTGCATAAACTCCTAAACCCCTAAACCCCTAAACCCCTAAACCCCTAAACCCTCAACTCCTAAACCCTAAATCCGCGTCTCCATTGCAACCATGGAGCTGACCCCATAAACCCTAAACCCTAAACCCTAAATCCGCGTCTTCATTGCGACCATGGAGCTGACCCCCTAAACCCTAAACCCTCTCCATTGCAACCATGGAGCTGACCACATGCGCGGACCAAGGACAACGGTCAACTCCCTGCACTGTGTGGCTAGGGTTTAGGGTTTAGGATTGAGGGTTTAGGGTTTGGGGTAGTTTAGGGTTGAGGACGGAGGGTTTAGGGTTTGGGGTTTAGGGTTTAGGATTGAGGGTTTAGGGTTTGGGGTTTAGGGTTTAGGATTGAGGGTTTAGGGTTTGGGGTTTAGGGTTTAGGACTGAGGGTTTAGGGTTTCAGGTTTAGGGTTTAGGATTGAGGGTTCAGGGTTTGGGGTTTAGGGTTTAGGATTGAGGGTTTAGGGTTTGGGGTAGTTTAGGGTTTAGGACTGAGGGTTTAGGGTTTGGGGTTTAGGGTTTAGGATTGGGGTTTAGGGTTTAGGGTTTAGGATTGAGGGTTTGGGTTTAGGATTGAGGGTTTAGGGTGTAGGATTTAGGGTTCTAAACCCTAAACTCTAGACCCCAAACCTTAAAAACCCTAAAAAACCTCAAACCCTACACAGCAAACCCTAAACCCTAAAGCCTAAACCGTTTAGGGTTGGGGGAGGTCGCGTCAAGGGTCCAAGGTTCGCTCTTTAGGCTTTGGGCTGTGTTGTTTACTTTCGACTCGTCAAGTCATACTAGCGGTTAAGGGTTTTAGAGTTTAGGGTTTGGGGTTTAGGGTTCAGGGTTTAGGAGTTCAGGGTTTAGGAGTTCAGGGTTTAGGAGTTCAGGGTTTAGAGCTGAGGAGACTAGGAGTTTGGCGGTTTACGTAGGGTTTAGGGTTTAGGGCTTACGTGGTGGTTCATGGGTAGTTATAAGTGGCGGTATAAGTAGGGTAGCTATAGTTATAACCCAGTTAGGGGATTTATAACCCTACTTATAACTACCCATAACCTCCAAGTGTGCGTTTAAGCCGAAAGCCATAACATGCTCCGGCATTGTATAGGGCATCTGTACAAATGTCTACAGTTTCGGGCCTGGGCTTCTCGAAATGCTGGAGATTGAGATTTGTGGTGCTCCGGCTTCCAAGACTCCTCAAAATTGGTATAACGAAGCTTTCCGCAGGACTTGTGAAAGGTGTTGTTGCAACGGTATCCTCGTCTGTTGTGATGTCCGTAGTCGGAACTCCCGTATGTCTTCACCGACGATCTCCTCCCTTCTGGAAAAACTCGTCCAAGCTCAGCTGAATGTGGGCCTTGACAGTTTGGATCGCGTGGCTTGGATGCTTCCGGCAGGAGCTTAAGCGGCAACCGTAGAGCCACTGTGATCTGAGCCGCGGATTCCAAGTCGCCAATGTACAAAGCAACTGCAACGGCCAACTGAATCACCGCTCGCAGTTTGGTTGCAGTCTCACCCGCAATGATATCATCGACAATCGTCTGAAGGCCAGAAAAGCTCGGCATTATGCTGCTACTACTACGAAGATGACCACGGAGACAACCGCTGCTAGTATAACTGCGACTCCTCCCATCCAAATTTATATGTGTATACATATATATATATATATACACACTAGACACATAGAGTTATACGCATATATATATATATGAGCCCGA